GATTTATAGTAGTAGTGTTTAGACAAGATATCGTGTCTGCATCTTGTCCTCTGAATAACTACTATGAAGACAACAATATGCAATGTATTAATTATTGTAACTGTCCTACTAACCTGTTTTGAAACTGTTTCATTGCTATTTTATCTCTTTTTCTCATTAAAATGAATAAAAATAACAAAATGCTCACAGTTGTTTAAGTGCAGCCTACGAAACAGCAGGTATAGACACTCACCAGCTTTAGCAAAAAAAGTGAGCAGCTCTAGCAAGAGAAAAATGTTCAACTGTTAAGGATTGACTTATACAGGCTTCTGTTTCTCAAAAGTAATCTGATTACTGCTCTCCCAGATTTGGGAGCTATTCATCTGGCTGAAGGAGGGCACTGGCCAGCCTTCTCCTGCCACAGCTGGGTAGCTCACAAACACAACTGCAGCAGGCAACATGGGCACGAGGAAGCCAGCAACTTCCAAGCCCAGACAGACAGAGGGTCTGGGGACAAGCAGGAAGAAAATGTAAATGCAAAAGCTGTTAAAAAGGCCTTTGCTGTTAACACAAGCCTTGATTTCCTGAGGCTTCTGTATCCTGGTGGCAGGTTATTTTTACATTTGTCTTTGTAAAGTCGCACTCTGCTCTGAGATTTTATAAACCATTTTCCTGCCTATGGAACAAACAAAATATTCTCTTTGATTCTATTCTCTGTTGACCTTGAAAAGGCCAGGCCAGAGAATAGCTGTGGCTACACATTAACCAACGTGTCTAAGGTCTTGGCAGGAGAGGAGGAGCCGGACTCTAGTAACACTGAGAGTATTTCACCTGTGACACTCGGCTCAGTGTTATGTAGTGACCTTTATTTGTACCCCCAAAAGTTAGAGAGGACAAACATAGACTGAGGGGGAAATGTTCTTTAAAAGTGTAAAGATATATTCTATTTGGCCTTGAACTGTGCATCTGAAATTGATTCTGAAAAATACCTACTTTTGTGGATGAATAAAAATTAATGAAACATGATTCATTAAGGGCAGCAGATATTCAGATTAATAAAGAACATAATCAAGTAGGCATCATTACTGTATTCTTTGGCCATTACCTACACGCCGCAGTGGACAGAGGAATGCGGAATGTGTCCCCTACTGCTGCCGCGCTGCTCCGGGCATTGGCTGGGGAATTAAGGATTCATGCCTCTACATAATGATATATGATTAGTGCTGTGAAAGTAATTGAACTCTCCATTCTAGACAATCCTTTGCAGTGTCAGCACGAAGCTGGAACAAACTGTGTCATTTAGCAGAGTTATGCTGTAAGTGAGAAATCTCTGATCCCTGCACAATTAACTTCCTAATAATTTGTAGGTTCTCAAGATTAAATGAGAGAATTAATATAATAGACCATGTAAATGTGCATTGGCGATCTCAAGCAATGCAAAGTCATGACAAGGAATGAGAAATTTAAAGAAATTAACAACTACTCTCACATATAATAAGAGACAGGTGTCAAGCTGTTGAAGGGATGAGCCCCATAACTAGAGCAGCTGAGGAGGGTAAAAACACAGCTGTTGCAGGGATCACTTATAGAGTAACAGAGAACATTCGCTTCCATGGGGACAGGCCACCAAGCTAAATTATGTTACAAGGAGACCACAAATATCCTGGAAAGTGAATTAATAATGATATTGACATCTATTTTGCATAATAAAACACTATCACTCAAAACATTTACTGTAACTCTATGCCTTCAGATTTTCAGCAAACTGATTTTATTAGTTATGAAGTTTCTCGGTTTTCTTCGTTAAGTGTATAAAATGTCTCAGTAATCCTTTTAAGACAGAAGCAGTGCAATCGCATCATACTGCATGAAATTCAAAGTGACCACGCGTTGACAGGTACTTGTTCTCCTTGATGTTTGACACTGTCAAAAAATCCTTTTGTTCTGGGACTTCATCAAAATGTTTTTGTATTGAGTACAAATTAATCAGTCATATTTCGAGTAATTCTGTACATAAATACTCCTGCTGAATAAAGACTGCATTTGTTTAGTCTCAGTCTCACACTGGTTTGGGGGAGAAACAGAAAAGAAAGGGAAATTTTTAATAATTTCTCTCAAAAAGAATATCTAACGTCTCTTGTACATCATAGGACGTGAAGCAAAAAGAAAAGTGTATCAAAGTGGAAAAGTGACTATATCTACAACTGCCAATAGTATTTTTTAGAGTCTATAAATGAAAATGGTCTCTAGTCTGTTATTTACAACTTCTACAAAAGTATACTTTCCTCCATGGCATTAGAGTTAGGCAGAGAGTGTTTGGTTTGTACTATTGTATTTTAATAAATTATAAATTTTCTCTTACCTGCCCTGTCAATACCACCTCACATGAGTTACACTCACATTGGCAAACATGTGAATTAAAAATCGATGGATTTCAGCTGATAGACTGCTTTGAGACCTCAGACACTGCAGGGGCTGCCTGTGAGCTTGTACCTAACTGAAGGACAACAAGGATGCAACAGAGACACAGAATTACGTTAAAACATGTGGGTCGGGGCTCTTGGCCCCCTTCAACAAAGATCCCAAGTGACTGACGCACTCTGCCTTCTTCACTCAGACGCAGGTTCACTTAGAGTAACAAGGATTCCCCTGCCCCCCACCATACACGGTCCGCGTCGGAGTCTACAGCAGGATCCCAGCGGCCGGCACGCAAGCACACTGCCTTCCTCCTGAGCGCTCACGGAGGACCATCAGGGCTCGATCTTTCTATCTGGCCTCCCACAAAACACCATCCTCATAACGCTGTAAAAGTTTTTCTGTGGATGGATACATGTTTGATCACTGACTAACTAAACATTCTTCACAAGATATTAGCTGATTTTTGTTAGCAATCAGAAAAGTTTTGTTTCTTCCTGGATAGATTTAAGGAAAAGTCATCTCTTATGATTAAAGTAAATTTGGTAGTGAAAATTTGAGTACTTACAGTCTTATTCGTTAGATTTTGTTTTATTTTGTCTTGGGTGTGTGTGTGTGTGTGTGTGTGTGTGTGTGTGTGTGTGTGTGTGATTGCCAAGCAATTAAGCTTCCTGAGCCCTTAATTACCACCGGTCTGCTAAATTTGGATCCAGAAGCTTTGGTGAACATTCTCTGGCTAGCTGCCTAATCAGATTCATATTTAAATTAACGGAGATGCCAATATAGTGATGAATTTTGATAACACTTAACTATTCTCCTTTTTAACAAGGATAAAGGTAAGGAAAAAAGCATAATGTCAACTGTTAAATCAGTTGTTATGGTTTAAATATAGAATGTTCCTCCCACACCTCTCTCAAAGTCTCAAATGTATTCAGATAGGGCAGGTTTGGAAAGTGATTGGATCGTGGGCATGTAATGCTCATAAGTGACCTGGAAAGATATTTTCTTGTCCCCAGCTTCTCCCTTCTCTCTCCACTTCCTAGCAGCCAAGAGACTAACAGCTTTTGTCCAACAGGCACCTGGGCCAGGCAGTGTCTGGCTTCGAGCCAACCGCTCATAGACTGGACCCAGTAGGAACTGTGAGCTGCATAAACCTTTCTTCCTTCCTTCGAGTTATGGGTATTTTGTCCCAGTGACAGCACAGTGACTAACAGGATAGTTTGAGTAGAGCTGGTTTAAAATATATTACTCTCCTCTTTCAAGAACAGTAACTTCACTTGGTGATCCTAAAACACTAAGAAAATTTACCTAAATGAATCAAACAGTTTAATGAAAAGTTGCGTCATCCCTACCAATATAAATGGTTGCCAAGGATATGGCTTCAGAGTGACTTTTGCATTTTAAAATGCTAAATCTGGCCATAGCGTAAGATACCATAAAAATTTTTATTTTTTTGCCATCTCTGCCTTTGAAATTATGAAATAAGTTTGTCTGGATCTTTTGTTTCACACCAAAGTAACCATTAATTACAGCAATCAGCTGAAATTCAATAAGCTTATACATACAAAAAAATGTGTGAGCAATCAAAAAAAACTATCATATTTGGTTTGGGCAAATGCCAAAGCTATAAAAAAAAATTTAAAACCTTATGAATTTGAGGTTGAGTTCTACGGTTAGTGACGTCCCCATGCTGTGTTGTCACAAGCACATGTGGCTGGATAGCAAACATGGAAAGAATCATGAAAGCCCAAGCCCTGAGAGACAGCTCCACAATGGGTTACATGGCAGCAAAGAAGCACCTGGAGATAAACCCTGACCACTACATTATCGAGACCTTGAGGTCTGAGGCTGAGGCCCACAAGAATGACAGGTCTGTGAAGGATCTGGTCATCTTGCTGTATGAAACCGCACTGCTGTCCTCTGGCTTCAGCCCGGAAGACCCGCAGACACATGCGAACAGGATTTACAGGGTGGACAAGCTGGGTCTAGGTATTGGTGACAATGACCCCACCGCTGACACCGCTGCTGCTGTCAAGGAGGAGATGCCACCCCCTGAAGGAGATGACAACATGTTGCGCATGGAAGAAGTCGACTGAACTCAACCCGAAGAACCACTAATGCGTGCTCAGTGCTTCAGTCTTCATTTCCTCTGATAATATATATATTTTGAGGATTTTTTTGTTAAGTCTATATGGCGTGATTACTGCTTTTAAGGGGAAGATAAGATTTCTTTCTACTTTTAAATAATACTGTGATATTTTAGGCACTAAAGCAGAACTAGCAGTGCTTTCTCTAGTTTCACCATGGTTTATTTTAACAGGTTGAGATGTTTGTGGTAAGATGTAACTTAACTGTTAACTTTGTGAGGTATGAAATGCTTAGATACCGAGCCAGATTCCTTAGTAGACCAAGCCTTGTGTCTCTAAAGTGTTGAGGTTCTCTGATGTTTAAAGAAATATTTGTTAAGATATCTTGAGTTTTGTTTTGTTTGTTTGTTTGTTTGTTTTAGTTTTCTTATAGGATATTTTTCTAAACTTTCCCAGTAGTTTCAAATCCACATGTCCTGGGCTTCTGGAAGCACATTATACTGACAACTTGATGGCAGGAGCTGCACAGGCTTGTTTTCCAAAGAAAAGTACTGTTTCAAGGGAGAGACAACTTCTAGGGATACCGCAGAGCTGTTTCAAAAATCATTTGGAACAAGGTCTGTGAATGGAAGTGAGTGTCCAGGTCACATTCTGCTTTAAGAAGTAATAAATACAGCTGAGTTTAGAAATTTAAAAAAAATGAAGTTGGGTTCTAGAAGCCAGTAAATTCACATTTGTACTATAACATGGTGAAATCGCTGTTCCTTATGTGCATTCCTTATTGTAGTCTAATGTATTACTTTTTGTTTATTTACTTTTCTCCTCTTATTCCTCCTACTTATTCCAAAAATGATCCAATGTCATAGTAATAGGTTTTTTGATTTTTATCCTATTTCTATGCCTTCATGTGTGTGTGTGTGTGTGTGTGTGTGTGTGTGTGTGTGTGTGTGTCTTTTTGAGACAGGGCTTCACTGTACAGTTCAGGCTAGTTGTGAGAGCTCACTTTGTAGCCCAGGCTGGTGTTGAACTCACAGCAATCTTCCTGCCTCAGCCTCCTAAATTCTGGGATTACAGGCATGCATCACCATGCCCAGTTTTTCTATGACTGAATCTTTTTTTTTTTTTTGACACTGTCTCATTATGCAGTTCAGGTTAGTTGTGCAAGCTCACTTTGTAGCCCAGGTTGGTCTCGAACTCACAATTCTCCTGCCTCATTTGCTGGGATTACAGCCATGTGCCACTATGCCCCACTTCTATGACTTCTAATGTCCAACAAAATTGCCTTTCACTTAAGGCTGGAACATATGTTTTGAAATGATCAAATAAATTCCCAGGGAATCAAAGATAGGGAATAGAAGTGCATGATACTGTATATAATTCATTAAAAATGAAAAGGTATCCAAATGTATAGGAATACTTAATGAGAAAAACCACAAATCCTAAAAAAGAAGAGTAAAGACAAACAGGCATCAGGATGGTTGTAGCCACTGGAGGGTCAAGATTAAGTAGACATTTACTTCCTTCAGTACACAGTATTTGCCCAGATCCAGGTAATGTGACAGCACTGGTGATGACAATGAATAAGACAAACATCTTCCTGACCATTAGCAGCTTCCTGTCCAGGGGAAAGCACAGTGCAGGAAATGACCCTTGTGCATGGTCGACCACTATGAGTAGACAAGAGTCATGCATGGTTGGAGTGTTCAGACAGCACCTCTGTGAATAAATGACATGTACTTGGGAACCTGAAAAGTGAAGGGGAAAAAAAAAACCATTTCAAAAGTGACAAGAAATACATTCCCAGCAAAGGAAATGTGCCAGGATCCTGTGGTGAAAGAGAGCTTGGGATGTCCAGGGACCTGGAAATGAATGACAGGGAGGCTGGGGCAGTGAGAGCCAGAAAGTTTGGCAGAAGTTATGCTGGAGCCAGACATCATGGCAAGTTAAGGCAGAGCCTTGGACACGAAAGGGAAGATCTCGTTCCAAGGCCAGTGAGAGAATTTAATATCTCTTCCAGAGGTTCACAATTTAATTTAGCCTAAAAGGAAAAGAATAATAATACTTCCCAGCTACTGTGAGGTTATTAGATATTGGACAAACAAGAGTCAATGTGTAAAGGCAAATGAGAAGACCAGGACAGGTTCACCATCTGAGATGAGGACTCAGTGTGGGCAATGGCAGGGCAAACACTCACACGTGAAACTCTCTGATTGTGTATTTGCACAAAGGATGAGTAGTGGAACTGGGAGCCAAGAAAATAAGGAACTAGGGCTGGCATCTAGGATCCCGGCTTGAGAAGCTAGCTGATATCAATTGATTTACCCAGTTGGGGAACCCACCACAAGGGAGGGACAAACAACTTTGGGGATTTGAATCAATACTTCAATTTTAGAGATATTTATAGGAAGATGTCTATTCATACCAAGTGGACATGTCTGTCTGTACATATGGAATTGGAAATCAGAAGAGATGTCTTATGCGAGGTACTCATTTGGAAATCATGTGCACAATATAGTATTTAGAGGAATAAAAATAAACGAGATCATCCACAGAGAAAAGAGAAGGGTGAAGATCCATGCACCACCAGCACTCAGCATGGCGGGACCATCACTAGGCAGAACCTCCTTAGAAACTTCCAACTAGTTTTAGCTTTCTGAAACATAATATGATCTTCAGAGGGTCTTCCAAAGGAATCAGGAAATCCATGACCATCTGGCTGGAAGACATATATAGTTAGAAAATAAAGCCACATATTAATACCTTGAAATTTTTCTCTTAATAATGCTACACAACTTTTATCATTTTTATAAAGCTCCATGCCTACATTTTGTTTGACCTACAAGTCTCTTATTTCAGATTAATTTTGGTGTCAGGATGTATACGCTTCCCTTTTTTCCAGTTACTTGCATTTTTAGTTGAGTTCCTAGTCTTCCTTTATTAAGTAATGTTGAATGCATCTTGCAGTATAACTTTTGATTAAGAAATAGGGACCTGGGGAGCTAGCTCAGTAGAATAAGCACTTGCCTGGCAAGCACAGGGTCCTGAGTTCAATCCCTAGTACTGAAAAAATAAATAAATAAAAAAGAAACATTATACTACCTTACTGTCAAAGCACAGACTGGAATCAAACAAGAGGAAACATTTCGCTATATAAACACTCCACCTGTATGCCATTCCCATTCAAGTCTTAAGATCCCTGGTTGCAACAGGCTGAATTTACTAATGAAATGTTGTTCTTTTGATCCTCAAATCATGTCCTCCATCTCTCTTATCCTCCTCCTCCTCCAGCATGATTTTTCTTCTTTGATCATTATCAGATCTGAACAATAAACCCAAAGTTACTCCAGAATAGTTTAAAATGATGGATAAATCTTAAAACACTATCTCTCCATCTCAGGAATCTTTTCAAAAAATAATTTGAAAAATTATAGTGGCACTAAAAGCATAAATTTGAAATTAAAGTTTTCAGTGTTACAGTTTTGGATGAGTGTATTAGGGGACGACTAACCAGATGGATGGGGGTTTTCACTATCATTGTTTGTATTAAGATTTTCCATGCAAAACACATTTTTTAAGCACAGAATATATTTAACTGAAATGTCTGTGATAGATATCATATCCTCTTTATGCATTATAAAATCATGAAACCCTGACACAGCTGAATTCTATCGAAAAGTAAAACTGAGGCATCAAGCTTTTACCTCAAAAAAAAAAATTAAAAAACCCTAAAAGTTATGTCTCCTGCTTAAAGTTTGTTCTATACTTGTGTATTTATTTTTCTCACTCAGAAAAGGAATTTGAGGTTTAAAATTGCCTTCCGTGCCGTTTTTCATAGGGAACACAAAAGCAACACACAGTACCAGATTTGAAAGTGTAGCAGAAGCCCTATTATTTGAAACAGTTCAAGTCAACACAGACAATAAAGCCATTGGCCGGGGTAAAATTTAACTGACCCTTTCAAGATTGAAAAAGATCTTCAATCAAAGTGTTTCCCTCTCAGTGGAGGAAGAACTCTGCATTGAACTGTTTTAATAATAAAACCTACTGAAACAGTTCTCACTTGGGAAACATAAGCTAAAACAAAAACAACAATAAAACCCCACTAAAATTGGGGTTAACTAGTTAAGTAGTTCTTTCTGAGGTGCATTGCTCTACTTCAAAGAATACTAGGAGAGGATTTTGTTAAAAGATTAAAACAAACCAGGTGAACAAAATGAGCAACTTAACAATGGTGCTAATGCTGATGTTGAAGGTCTGTAAAGTTTGCTCGAATGACATTAAACATAGGGTTTTAAACTTTTCGTACACAGTGTTTAAAAAAAAATGATCTGTACACAAGAGACACAAATAAAAAAATGGTAAGGGATTTTTTTTTTTAACACAAAAGAGGAGCTGTAGTTTTCTCGAATGTATTTACATGGATGTCACAGTCCTCACTGAAGAGCTAAGCATTAATGAGAGTTCTACAGGACATGAAGACAGCAAATATGCTGATAGCTTGCGCTTCCTGAGAATGTGGGAAAATAATCTCTTGGAGATGTAGTTGTTCATTGTAATGAAGTAGCTATTTTTCAGAGTCTCTACTTTGTTTGCTAAGTTTTTGCCCACTTTGTCCTCAACCATGGCCAGTGTCTGGGGACATCAAGCAGCATTCACTTTAACATCAGTGGATGGCTGCAAAGAATTCAACAAGCTGGGACTAGTGTATCGTCTTCAAATAAGGAAGACAAAAATCATCCCTTCTACTGGTTCTGGCTGGAAGCAAAGGTGATTGGTACAAAAATCCCTCACAAAGGAATGTTAATAGAGGCCGTAATTCTGACACCTTCTAGAATTGGGGGAAGCAAGTCAGAGGCCACGACAAACCCAGCTCATTATTAATTTCACACTTGAGTAAAACCACACAGCTAAGCGTTCACTGTTTGAATTCAAAATAGCAGACTACTGGTTTCAGTGATAACCAGAATGTAGATTTTAAAAAAAGAAAAATGGAAATTACAGAATACAAG